TTGCGCTGAAGTCACTGCTAAAGCCGAGGAAATTAAAATACACGAACAGGAGTAAGAGAACTTGCGTGATTAGACCCCTTATGAGATCGGAAATGTTGCGAGAACGCGGGCCAATTTTTGGGAATAATGAGATTCGAGATGGAAAACCTTTCGAAGATCAGAAATTTTATCTTGCGAGAGAAATTTTTGGAGGGAGATTTTAACGAGGCTTGGATGAGCAGAGATAGGAATTTTTTAAAAAGTCAGAAATCTCGAGAGGGAAACACCAATGTAGAAGGAAAAGATTTAGGTATATTTTATGAGGAAACTTTCGACATTGGACTCTTAGTAATAAGAAAACAGAGAAATTTGTGAAAGTAATGAGATTTGAACAGACAGGAAATTCTTAGAAAATCAGTTATTTTAGGGAAAAAATCAGTCTAAGGGGAACAAGTTTATTACTGTGTGAGAAATAATGTGACTTGAATGAGCAGAGATAGGAACTTTTTAGATAAAATGCAGCAGCAAGAGATTTATTATATTTTAAAAGAAAATTTACAAAACTAGAATTTTAGGCAACCAGAAATTTTGAAAAGATAGAAAGACAATGAAATTTAAGTGAGCAAGAAATTTTTAAGAGAATTTAAGAAAAAAAATGTTAAAAAGCAAGATATTTATCGTATTTTATATAAGTATAATAATATGCTAATTTTTAGAAATAATTAAATTTAATTTCATAAGGGTTTATTGAATTTTAGAGAACTGTTTAAGAAACAGCTTTCTTTATTTTATTCTATTTTCTTATTATAAGGTTTTTCTGTCTTTTGCTTCTCATTCTTTTTTCCATTTTTTTTTTTATTTTCATTTCTTTCCTTTCTTAATTATATACTTTCTCGTACAATCTTCTTTATTTTATTATTTTATAAGCACTTATAAATTTGTATGAAATGCTACTTTTTGGGAAACAATTTCGATTTCTATATATATAAGAAATTTACATGAAAATTTTGCTGCGTTGACAAACATAATATCACGGAGTTGGAATATTAAAAAATATTCTTAAACTGACAGAAGATTTATGAAAGATTAGAAAATTTCAAGAAGAAAACATCGATGTTAAGGAGGACGAAATTTATTATGCTTTGTAAGAAATTTTACAAGATTAGGTTCTTACGAGAACCGAAGTATTTGAAAAATAGAAGAAGTTTTGAAAGTAATGAGATTTAAACAAGTAGAGGCAGGAAATTTTCAGAAATTTTAAGCAGGAAATGTCGATATTAAAGAGATTTATTATAGGTGCTTTATGAGATTCGACTCTTAGGAAATCGGGAGAATATTAAGAAAAACAGGAGAATGAGATTTAAATGAGTAGTGACAGGAAATTTTAAAATGAAAATGTCGATATTAAGATTGAAGAGATTTTAAAAGAGAAAAATACTTTGAAGAGGAAAAAAATTATCTATTTAAACAATTACATACGGATACTCATATTCACGTACATTTTTTATATATAATGCTAGCATTTTTCAAATGCTTTCTCTCTATTTAATGTAACGATGAAGATCTAATATAATATTATTATTAAGTATATTTAATATTAATATAATTTTTTAACCAATTTGAACGAAGCGCGCATCAAACCTAAAATACAACAATGTCATTAGTAGTTAAATACTACTTGAAATATAAATTGAATTCTCGCATTAAGGTGCACGAAAATTAAAATGCAACATTTTCAGTTAAAAAATTATCAGAAAGGATTGAATCAACGTGATGTATCATATGCGTCAACAGCAACGAATGTTGAAACTAAAAGATCAACATATTCACGTCGAATAATTCATATTTAAGTCTTTGAGTTTTTTCAATTTGTCTAATTTTTGATGATAATAATAAATGTAACATTTGTACTAAATTCCAAAAAAAAAATTAATATAATTATATTAATATTATATCTTTTTTTTTGTAATTTATCACATATATATATATATATGTATGTATGTATGTATGTATGTATGTATATGTGTGTATGTATGTATGTAATTACATACATACATACATATGTGTATATGTATGTATGTAATTACATTTTCGAGAAATTGCAAAAGCATTGAATTTAAGAAATCTTGCACTTTATTTTATTATAAAACGAAATTTGAGAATTTTTAAGAATATAAATTGAAAGAATATACACATGTATATCTATATTTTTTGTATATATTAATGTTTTATATTTATATTATTATTGTAATTATATTTTATATTTATATTTTTATATATTTTATTTTACTTCAATTTTCATGCATTTATACAAAATTTTAAAGTATGAAACACGATGCGCATACTATGAAAAAATATATAAAATATTCATAATTCAATGTTCTTTATGATACACAATTTTTTATCGAGCTTCTATATATATATATATATATATATATTTTTTTTTTTTTAATTATATTCTTAAAAACATGAATATGCGTATGAGAATCTGCAGTCCACTTATAATTATAACTTATAATTTCATTTAAAACACTAGGTTAAAGTACTAGATTTCCAAGTTCAAACATACAAAAAAAAAAAAAAATTAATCAAAAATAATGCACAAATATGAATTATCACGCAATGAAATAATTTTTAATCTTGCTCTAAATTCTTTTGAAAAACATCTATCACGCGTATTAATTCAAGACTTATATCTTCGAATAAAATCGCAAAAATTCCCGCGCAGCAACTGTGTTGAAAAAAGAAAAGGAAATTTGAAAGGAACGGAGAATCGTGGATGCACATGGAGCATAGTACTACAGATAACGTTAATAAGAAGCAGTAGGTCAACTTGCATAGAACGAGGCTAGAACCTCCTGGCAAATCCGGTGTCAATGGGATCGATTCACCCAGCATCGTCGCTCCAGTTATTGACAGGGAACTGGACCGTCTAGTTCTTTCTCGGCGACGTTTCTTGCGTCCACTGTAACCGTGGACTATGAACAGAGGATGTGTAACAATTCCTCCTCTGGAGAAGACATCCAGTTGCCTTGATCTCTCAGCCGGGTTACACTTCGACGGACGTTTGAGATTTTTTGTTACGGCTTAAGGAGTGGCACATGCAACACTTTTGTCTTTTTAACGCACTTCTTATGCTTCCGTAACTAAGCGATGATTAACTTCTCACAGTTAAAAGAAGTATGGCATAAGTATTTGCACCAATAACGAAAACATCGGATCGAAGTGTATATTTTCATCTGAATAAACTACATTGTATTGTATTGGGTTGGCCAAAAAATAATTGCGTTTGTTTCTACGATGAACACGTAGGTATAGCTCGTTTCAGCATGTTTTCGTTTGTTTGATGTCGGTTTCAAAATGGAAAATCAAAGAAGAACATTTTCGTCATATTTTGCTGCTAAAAAATTATCTAATGTGTATGACGAAAAAGCGTTCGAACTGTGGCAGTGTTAGAATTGATTTTAAGCTAAATTTCACTGGTGAGGATATCAATCGTTTTTGAAACTTTTTTTTTTTGTTAGATAAGAACTTTTTTGAACGCGGAATCATGAAGATCATAAAAGGTAATCGAACAAAATGGTCAATATATTGTATAATGAAGTTCTTGTTTCTCAGAAAAAATTCGCCTTTCACTTGCACACAAAAAAAACGCAGTCACTTTTTGACCAACCTAATGTGATACATTACTGTGTACGAATAATTGGACGCTTAGTGCAATTCCACTGAGAAGTTGATACTTTCGTTACGTTTCAACAATTATGAATGTTTTTCTGCTGTTAATTTTCTGTATCCTCAAATTTCGTATTCATTTTTAATAAATATGGAATTGACGCTTCGTGAAATCTGTATTGAAGGTTTTTCAATATGATTAGAAACACTAAGTCATTCTAAAATTTCAATGTACAGATATACTTAAAATCCCTCTTCAGTGTTTTCAACCATTTGATTATTATATTTACTTATTCTTTTCATCAGTATCTTTTCATCATTAACTGTATATGTTAAGATTACATTACGCAGATTCATTTGAATTGTGTTTTATATTATACTTAAATATTTATACAAAATAGTATCAGTCATTTGAGCCTTCTAGAAATTAAATTGATCAACTTTTTATTTTTACAGTGAGGAACATATGTGAACTAGTAACTATAGATTTTGTACATCTATTTTCTTATTACCGTTCATATTAATATGTATACAACAACACACAATAATATATATATAATGAACATAATACATTTTAGATAATTAAATCTAAATACAGACAATTTTTTGATGTGCGAATGTTCTTTCAGTTGCCTGTAACAATTATATCGAATTTTGCATTGTAATTTGGAAAATTTATTGTACATAAATGATTACACATACATTTAAGATTTATCAAAGAAATATTCATTAATTCAATTTCAGTTTTATCGCAATCAAATTTTTCAGGTCTAGTAACTTAAGTATTTAATAGTACTTTACTGATTCTTTTAAGTTTTTAATATGGCTTTACTTTTACACACAAGATTTCAATAATAATCAGAATAAATTTCATTCTATTAATTCTCTTCAGAAATTGAAGAATCGACATTAATGAACAATTATAAGAAAACTTAAAACTTTTTATCCACTCGATACAATAGGTTAGCGCCTAATTATACAGTAACGTTATTCGTATGAAATGGAACTGAATCAACAAATCCCTTTTTTGCAGGTAAATAAAAAATATTTGCTACAACAAAAGCATTTGATAAAATTAGCATCAATCGAATGGTGTTCTCGAATAAAAATCTATGTTGTATTTATCACATTCTGGGATAACGCAGTTTAAAGCTATATTTTTTCCATAAATTTCAAATACATGAAATGCTCAATCTCTCCTGTTGCGGGATATTTGCAACTTGTGTATACTAAAACAATCTCCAGAGAGATTGTAAAATCATATTACACTGTTAACTCAGTTTCGACCAAAGTACATGCACATAACATACACCCTTATTCCAGGTTCAATTGTGCAAAATGTTTCTCTGGTGTAATTTAATGTTAAGGATAATGAAGGATGACTTACATGAAATTTACAGTTACTAGTTTAGTTGTGTTCTTCATTGTAATGTATAAATAAATAATAAAATGTAATAATAGTAATAACTAAATTGTGGATGTCAAAAACAAATTTTTATATGTAATTATAATTTTGCACATTGCATGTATTTTGCATATTCTAATCTTGAACAGTATATGCATAAGTATTTTTTTTTTTTTTTGTATTTATCCTACCATATAATTGTAATGTAAACTATAATATAATATATATAATATATAATGTAAACTATAATATATCATAAAAAATTTATATCAGATATATTTAGCTTCAACAATCAAATATTTTTAATTGAGATATTATATATCAAGTGATGCATATAAGAATATAATCTTCTTAAAGGTTGAGCTTAAGGGTTGAATTTATCACTTCTTCGTACGAGTAATTCCAATAATTTTTATTTCATTGTACATTTACTTTATATTCCATTTTTAAATTTCAAACTTCAAATTAATCAAAGTTAATCGAATTAAAGGAAAAATAGAAATTTCATAGAAAGTGAAGTATGAAGCTTAGAATGTAGTGGAAGCCCTAAGATTAGCAAAGGGCTCGATTTTACACGGATCTTTCAGGCTGACGTAAACGTGTACCAACTGTATTGCGACAGACTTATGCAGGGCACAAGGTCCGGCCATTCGCCAGTCGAATTTTTACCGATCGAAGGTTAGGTTTCGCAGTTGGGTCTGCGTACCGATCTGTGGCCCCTGTACGCCCTCTCCCTCCTTCGCCAATGTCCCCGTATCACGTCAGTACAGTCAGTTCTGCTATCATGCTGCTTTTCTTTAACACACATTCAGAACCACAGTTTCCCATGATTAAATTTACAGTAAAATATAGCAAACGATAGCAAGTAAAATATAGCAACATACAGTAAGTAAATAAATATAATAAAAGTGTAGTAAAATTTTTTAATTTTTAAACGTGTTCTGAAGTTTATAGCGACGTTGTAAAGATTAAAAATATAATTATATAAATCGATACTAAAAGAGTAAAAAAGATTTATTTATTATACCAAGCTGTGAGATTGAGAAATCGGTTAAAAATCCGTCTCGAATGTGTTCTCGCTTACTTTTCTTTTAAATTTCATTTTTAAGTATTCTATTTAAGTATTATACTTAAATCATGTTATTAGAAGATATAGAAGAATTTTTCATATTTGTTAAATGTACTTCCTCTAATTTGGAAGTATTAGATAAATGGCACCATTTGCCTTGGAAGGTTTGATTTCTTTGTTCGAAAGGCACATTTTGTTAAACGATCTCTTTTTTCCCTCAAATTTTCCTCATTATTATTATTTTTAGTTAAATTATATTATTGCTTGTAAAAGAAGTTTTCATATTTGTTAAACAATTTTAATTCGAAACAGTATTAGATGAATAGCATAGTACTAGATAAATGGCATTATTTGTCTTGAAAGGTTTGATTTCTTTGTTAAGATAGAGACATTTTGTTAAACGATCCTATTACACTTTTATACTTTACTAACATAATTTAATGCAATGAATATAATTTAATTTAATTACAATTAAAGTTAAATTGAAATGAATTTAATTAAAAATTGCAATTAAAGTTAAATTTTAAAGTAAATAAAGTTCAATTAATTTAATTGAAAATAAATTTCTATAATTAATAAAATTTAATTAACTTAACTATAAATTATTAATTTAAAATGAAATAATATAGTACATATATACGTCTTCTCTTTTCTTCATGATTTCTTAAAACTTCATTTCTGATTAACATAATTTTACTTAAAGTATCTTTTTTTTTTATAAAAAAATTTTCCGTATTTCTTAAATAGCTATAATTTGAAACTATACTACATAAAATGGTGTTCTTTGTCTTGAAGGTTTGATTTTTTTATTCAAAAGCTACATTTTATTTTAAAGATTTCATCTTTTTCTTAAATATTATAAATCAAAGATTATGAATGTGCAATTGTAGAAAATATAGAAATATAAGAACGTACAGCAATATTTTGTCATAATGTTTATTTAAGTTTCTTTCAATTTTATACAAACGTAGACTCAGACTGCAAAAAATAATGAGGAAGAAGATATTAAATGGATTCTCGAAATTTCATTTTACTACGGTATTACAAAGCAGATGAAGTAGAATAATTGAAAAAAAATAATGTTATGTTTATGCAACTTTAGAATTTTAGATTATTAATATGTAAAAATATTAATATCTAAAATACAGTTCTTTATTACAAAGTTCTACTTGGAATTTTCTTACTTTTCGTACTTTTATATTTTGACTTGGAATTTTTTTACATTTTTTAAGCAAATCCTACGTGCTTGTAATATTTTAATATTTCATAGATTTTACTTTCTAGATTTAATATTATAGACAAATGTAACAATAATTTGAAGGTTTCATTATCCTTTATAACCAAACTTTGAATCTTTACGCAATTTCAAAAGTTTTATTAATATAATTAAAGAAATGTAATTTAAGCGAAAATTTGGTAGTTATATTATAATAAGCACTCTGCTTTTGATATTTTTGCATATTTGAATGTCTTACCAATACATAAAAATCAACAATTTACTTACAACATGAATCGATGAGATCCAACACAAATATCTTATTGTAACTCTACGAACAGAAAAGAGTTTCTAGAATCTATGTATATCTGATTTGAAAAAAGTATTTCTCTATATTGTATGTACAATTAATAAAGCAATTTGAAAATTAACATTGTAACGAAACAGGATTTTTATGATTTTGAAATTAATCTGAAGTATTACAAGATATTTATTATAGACATTAAGAACTAAGCAACAATTTAATAATATAATTTCCTGAAATTATAGAACTTAGAAAAATACTAAGAGAAACTTGAATTTAGGAAATTTTAGATGTTCCTTTCAAAACGATATTGAAAAATAAAATTTGCAATTATGAATTAAAATGATTCCACTAATAATATTGGAATTTATTATAGTATGATAATTGGTTCTTTAAATATGAAATACTGTGAAATACAAGCACTTGTATTAACTGATTTCTGCATGTGTCTAGATATTAGATAAAAACAGAAAATTACTTGTTGCAAATTGGCTAATGAAAAATGTTCCCATATTTTTCATAATTCTTGTCTTAAATTTTCTGTTTTAATTTTATAAAACTCCCGCAGCAATAATTTGCACTTTTAAAAATTTTTTTTATATCCAAAAATGCAATGTTTTTTTGTAAAATTTTTCGCATAAAACAATTTTCCACCAATTTTTACATTTTTTTAATTCCAAAGATAAAAAAATATAACCTTGCATGAAATAAATTATTCTCAAGTATGGATTTGCATAAAAAGATATAAGTTTGCGTAAAATAAATTATTCCCAAAAGTATAAATTATTCCTAAAGGTATAAATTATTCATGCAGATAAAAATCTGCCGTCTAATCATCGAGTCTCGTTATAATGCTAATGAAATTACAAAATACTCCATATTTGGTTGTACTTTTTTATCATATCCTCAAAAACATAAATTTGCAAGATCTACAGTTTAATCATGATCGGCGAATCTCGTCATAATGTCAACGAAATTACAAAATATTTCATATTTATTCTATCCTTTGTACCATATTCTCAAAAATACGTATCTTCAAAAATCCACAGTTTAATCGTGGTCCATGACGAAACACATTTAATCCGCAGTTTAATTATTCAGTTAGTTCAGTTTAATTATATCTTCCCTTTTTGAAACGCATTCTCGAAAATACACAGCTGCATAAAAAACTCCGCAGTCCAACAGATCATTGATCGGTTATTATAACAGTTACAATGCTGATAAAATCACGAAATATGTCATATTATACGTGTATTTCATACAAAAAAAGAGAACAAGAGAGGATGTCAGCATCATCGACGGGGTACTGTTAAAAAAAAAAAAAAGAATTCCGCCATTGTTCGGTCGAAGGAAATCCTCTCATAGAAAAAAATCTGTTATCAGACTTGGCGCGTGGCGCCTGGTTGTTATCAGGAACGACTGTACCCGTCAGGATCGTGAGTCAGAGCCGGAGCAAGAGCGACTCACACAGCGGAGGCCACTTCTCCGGCGTAGTCCCCTCCTGGCGGCGACACATCGTGCTCTCAGAGGGCAACGGCGACGACGACGAAGGAGAGATCGCCAGTCAAGACCCCGGCGAAGAAGAAAAGAGAGACGAGCGCGGTCGTGGTAAGGCTTACCACGAGGCGGTCGCGAGCGATCAGTTCGGTCGACGTGCAGAACCGACGCGGACGTGAATTGGTCGCCGATTGTGAACTGGCAGTGAGCCTACCATAGAGTACCATTCGGGATAAGAGAGCATTAGCCGGAGGATGCCTCGTCCCTTCACTGGATAACGTCACCCGATTCCTCGTGTACGTTTTCAATTCGACATCTGTATCGGTATATCCCCGCTGGGAAATGATTTCATTGGCCCTCGATAACGTCCTGTAAATCGAAAGTTCCGTACCCGTATGGTCTATTGTTCTTTCAAAAATTTGGCTTCCTACTCGTTGTAGGCCTTGCTCGTTGTCGCTGTTGAAACGTGCTGAAATATTACGAATATTACGGAAATATGAATTTGACGGTAATTCGCCGTTTTGGAATCTTGTATGTGCACCATTCTTCGAAGATTTTAGTTTGTCCGATTTGTTGATTTCGCTATTGTATCTCATTAGTATGTATGTACAGTATCGTGAAGTACCAGTTTGAAAATTTCCCATTTTTAAATATTTTCAATTTTATTTCGAAAGTCATATTTTGCTTGCTCGTTGCCTCAGTATTTTGTAAACGCAATATTATGAAAATACCGAGTGACTTGTGATAATTATTAATTCTCAGGTTTTAAGTCATATTATTAACCAATAATCTTAATTATTAATATAATATTAATAATTGTTAACAGTCACAATTAACTACAAATCTTTTTCTCTTGCAAGTAAAATTCTGCAAGTGAAATTCTGATTATTGAAGATTAATCCAACAATTCCTAAAGAGACCTGCAAGTCTGATGATCATTGAATTATTTCCGTTTCCGCAAAAGATTCTAGAAATTTTATTTATTGTCGTATACCTGTATTTTTAACGTTAAAACCATCGATGACTAAAGTATAAAAATTGTATTCAGAAAAATTAAAGCGCAACGAATGGGAAAAAGTTTACAACACAATAAATAACACAAACTTTTATTTTACAGAAGTCACTCAAATTTCTAAAAACGCAACATTATAGTTCTGTAAAATTAGTTTAAGAAATTATAAATTGGTCATTTTAAGCACTTTTGGTAGTTTTAGTGTTAAATGTGATATTAAAAAGTCCTCGTTATTGTACGCGAAAACGAAGTATGTGTCGTGGCTTAAGAATTTACGTTCGAGGCTTCAGAGTCCTAAGGTTCTTCAATTCTTATTTCGTGTTTTCCTCTATTATCGAATCGTTGAATTATAAATTATTTTTTATTTGTTTACTTTAGAGTTTCGTTTTCTCTTTAAATTAATTTTTTTTTTTTTTATTGGTGAAAGTGTAGTTTGAAATAAAAATTGAGATTGTATCGAGAATGGCTCGAGTTGGATTTCAGAATTGGAACAAAGATTGAAATTCTATCGAAGATTTAGAAAATTTGAACAAATTTTTCATTTGATTATTAGGTTCTCTTTTATTCGTTGTTTTTCTCCAAATTAATTCTATTTGTTGGTAAAACTGTGCTTCAAAATAAAGATTAAGATTGTATGGTGGTTTAAGTTGGATTTTAGAAAATATCAAATTTGAATTTTTTATTTTCTTATTTATTATTTATTTATTGCTAAAAGTGTGCTTTGAAATAAAAATTGACACTGTGTCGATGATAGTTTGAATTGAATTTTGGAAGATATAAAATTCGAA